TAATGAAAGAAGAGACTTCTCTTTAATATTTTGCTAAAATGTTACAGTTTAGTGTAAGCATATAGATCTGTTGAGCTTCAAAGGTCTAGAAAGCTAAATATTGAGAAATGGCTACTGGAATTGAAAACATAAATCTCCATTTTTCTTGTTAATTGCCAATGACAATAAAAGAAGGTAATGGAGTGTGTCTTTAGTGTAAATGAAGTTTAAATAGTACTATAAAGCAATATAAAGATTCTCAATGGAAGTATTCATCTCTGGTCAACTGCACCAACTTTGAGAAATGGCTTCAGAATTGTAAAATTACATTTATCAGAATAATTGGACTCCAGCCAGATGAATCCCCATTTTTGTCAGCAATAGTATCTTTTTTCTTGGCCCTTTACAACTGTATTTCTCCAAGTTGGTTTGATTTAAACCAATGCTGGTGTTCTCCCCTTTTATCCCACTACCTTTTTCCTCACATCCCGAATTCAACCCATCATGAATTCCTACTGACTTTAGTTTATCCTTGAAACATGTCCCATCTGCCTACTTCTCATGACCTCCACTGCTAAGCCACCGTTGTATCTTACCCTGAACATTGTGTACTGTCTCCCTATCTGGCCTCCCTACTCACTGTAGCACTACAATCCATTCACAACAGCCAGAGTAACCTCATGAAGCAAAATCCAGTCTTTGTATTCTTCCGTTTAAAATTCTCCCATGACTTCTCGTCTTCTTCATCGTAAACCATGAGTTCTGGTTTCAAACTTCCACCCTGTCTTGCATCTCTCCTTGCTTCTCTGCCCTCCTTGCAGTTCCTGAAACATCCTAAGCACTCTCACTTCAGGGCCTTTGCACTGGCAGTTCCCCTCAGTCTTAAAGGCTTGCATGTCACCACACCTGAGCAGCCTCTCCTCATCAACAACCAGAGAGGCCTTTCTTGATCAACTTAACTGCAAAAGCAGTCTGTGTCATCAGGGTCCTTAACCAACACCTCCTACCAGACTGTAAGCTCTGTAAGATCAGGGACTATTTCTGTGCACAACTATATTCCCAAATGCTTTTCATGTGGCTATGGGGATTTTCTTTCGTTCCTTGAATGTTAACAAATATAAATTCCACATATTTGGAGGTAGGTCATTTGTAGGGTCATTAGTCAGCCAGAATTTCTCAAAAGATTTTCTTTGTGCAGAGCACAATATTTTGAACTCCCTTATTTTGGGCTGAGATGCTAAAATTCATACTGTTATTATGGGGCACTTTTTTTTTTTTGTCACTGCCGTTTGCAACCAGAGATCTCTGCCATCAGAACAATTCCTTTTTCCTAACATTTTCTACAATCTCTAAGGGTTTTTAACAATGAGACAATCAAGGGGCCTTTTGTGGAAAGGCTCATTTCATGGTCCAAAAGTAGAGTAATGCAAAGTGCAAAACTAGAAGATATTTATGTAGTTTTTCAGACTTTCTGGAAGACTTCAGATCCTGAAATGGTAGATGAACACAAAGATTTCAGGAAGTGCAGTTTCCCTGATATGCCAGGAGCCTCAGCCTCTAAGAATATATATAGGAAAAACACCATGTATAGAATCTCCTGTGCCAAAGACTAGAGCCACACTTTCCCAAAGCATTGTGATGAGTTCTGGTTATATTTTATTTTATTTATTGAAATTTGTTTTGGTGGTACTGGGGTTTGAACTACGGGGTCTCACACTTGCTAGGCAGGTGCTCTATCACTTGAGCCACCCCACCACCCCGTGTTGGCTGTTTCGTGAATTATTTGCCTAGAGTGGCTTCAAACCTTGATCCTCCAGATTGCTGCCTGAGTAGCTAGGATTACAGGCATGAGCCACTGGCACCCTGCCGTTCTGGTTATTTTTAAATTTGAGAAGGCATATTTAGTACACAGTTGACTTTACACAAAAGATGCAGTGCCATGTGAAGTTCTAAGAGTCAGTGTTCAATTCCCTATGGTCTGAAGTTGTAGCAACTGTTCTGAATTAAGATCCCCTCAACTGTTTTGTGAAGGCCTGTTACCTAAACAACCTGCTCTAGTGAGTGAGCAAAAAATGTCAGTTACAGGGGTTTCTCTTAAAATAGGCTGAGCAAGGACAAAGCATCAACAATTTTTGCTAGTTATTTTCAGTTTGGAATTCCAAATCTGGAAAACAGGATACTTGCCCACATCTGTAGCTGTCAAGGTAAGGTTGTTTCTAAGCTGGTAAATTGTATGGCAGCTTGTTGAGCTTAAGCAACTTTTAAATTTTGTTTTACCCAGATACTTCCTAAAAAGTGTGGCGGGCTGGAGGTGTGGCTCAGGTGGTAAAGCAGCTGCCTAGCAAGCGTGAGGCCCCGAGTTCAAACCCCAGTTACCGCCCCCCACCCAAAAAAAAAAAAAAGGTGTGGGTGTTTTCCTGACCTGTTTCTCATGATATTTTCCTGAATAAGAACAGAAATGGATTAGTTGTCATTTCTTGGACTTTTGTTTAACAATTTAAAGATGTATCTTGAGTTTTGATATAAAAGATATTTCTTTACTTTTACAAAATCTGAAATGTTCCATAATTGTGAAATATTTCGTAACTTGAAGAATGTGAAACTCCTCACAAATAGGTAGATTTGTAGGTTTGCCTTTGTTTAGGTAGGTGATCTTGCTTAAGCTTCAGAACATCTAAAACTTTTGGAAATAATATTCTTCAGTGCTGTCCATATGAAGTGTTATTTTGTAATTCATTCAGTAACTATTCACTGTGTCCCTGCCATGTACCAGGCACTGATGAGCATGGAAAATACAGTGGTGAATAAGACCATGTCTTCATGGAGCTTGTGTTCTAGCACTTGACACCATTCAGCAGTTGGGTTTAGCCTAAAATACCACTTTGCCTCCCTCCTATCACTGCATCAAACATTGCCAGTGTTTGACCTGAGCTACTTGCAGCTCCCCTGAAAACATCATGCTTTCTCACATCTCCTTTTCTATGCTCCTCTGTTCCCTTATTGTTTATCAGGTAAACTCCTCCTAGGGCTTAGCTCAAAAGCTATTTCATCTTTGAACCCTTCCTGTCCACTATTAGGTTGCATCAGCCACCTTGATTTTAAATCTGTGGTAGAAATAAATATCATTTCCAGAATAGAATTGAATTTCTTGGTTGGAAACATGTAACTTAGCTGGGAGTTACTGAGTGTGCAGGGATTCTGCAGATTCTCCACTGTCTAGCTGAACGATGAGTTAGCTTGTGGCACCATCAAGTGGTTCAGTTGGGCAGTGCAACTTACTTCCTCTACAAGCTCTAAATAGTGCAATTTATGCCATATGCACATTAAGGGAAAGAAGAAAGGAACAAAGATTTATAATGCAGTTTAGAGGTATAACTATCAGACTATCTTTATTTTGAGAAAATCAAAACTTTACAGTGTCCTCAGCAGGATACTTGTGATCGATATATGGGAACAATTTTTCAGTATTTTTTTATAATCACCATGGCCTGAGGCTTAGAAGTGATGGGTTAGCTTCTCATTATTGAGATCAGAGTAAGTACATACATTCTGCTTTACCTTGTTGCTCAGCTTTGCCTGATGAAAAACATTTGACCTGCCCATCGCGCTCCCTGGCTTACTTTGTGTCAGTTTGAGATATCTCTGGTCTGTGCAGCAAAATGGTTTTCAAATTAATGACTTGGAATAACATTTTTGTTTGTTAAATGGGGATGAATGTATGGTGATGATTCCAATAATAAATTTTCAGAAGCCAAAAGTTACCTAATCAAAGTTGGTCCAGTGACTGCTGTGCTCTAGTGACTTAGCTTTCTCTGTGTGGGTTTATGACTGCAGGGATGAGAAAGACAAAGACAGAGGTCAGGTGCTTAGGTTTTTGGCTTTTAACTGGTGGACTGAAGTTTCAGTTTACAGATTAAGGATAACTGGTTGTATTCTTTGGCTCATACTTGGTAGTGGAAAAATACAAAACAGAATTACAAAAACACACATATATTCAAAAACACAAATAGACATAGAACCATTTCTTCTAGGGCCCAGCAGAAAGGAAATCTATAGTATGGAATAGAATTTTCATTATGAGTTATCCTTTTCCTTTCTCACTTGTGCGATGAAGAGGATACACTCATTCTTTTGGTGAACTTCCATGTCCAAATCACAGAAAGAAACTCTTTGTATCACAGTTCAGTATGTGTTTCCTTGTATTGTGTGTTGAGTCACATCCAAAATGTAGCAAGCATATGTATTGAAGAAACTAAATTAGTGAAATTCCTCTAAAAGGTGTGTTCAGATTTGTCAAACCACTCCTGTCCTGTCGGGTGTCCTTTAGTTAGCCAAGCACTTTCCATATTGTTATACCATCTCTTCCCAAAAATGGAATAAAAGAGGTGGTCCTATCTTATCCATAGCAGAGTTTAGAGTGGGAATGTAGTTAGTATTAGAGGGCTGGCCTTGCATTTACAAGGCCTTGGGTTTGATACCAAGCAACACAGGAAAAAAAATCAGTTTATACAACTTCAGAAACAGCATGATAAGAAACTAGGGAAGAAAAGTGGTAGCCTAAAGCTGGAAAAAGGAAATATTTGTTTTAAAAGAACGAAAGTTGATAGAATAAGCTTAAATAACCATGGATTATTGAGAAAATTAGTGTTCCTCTTTAGAAGGATAAAATGAGAAATAAAAAAAATTGTACTTTTTGCTTCCTTAGCGCTGTTCCACTTAGTCAGGATAGAAAGGGTATCCTATTAGTAGTCCCTGTTGTCTGGATTTTTACTTAGTGTCTTCCTTTTAAAGGCTCAAAAAGTCATGTTTGCTTATTTTTAACACTTTCCCTAGACTTAAATTTTGTTTCATCGGTATGAATTTTATCATTTATTTTATGCTATCATGTGTTCTATCAAGTTGACTTTAGACAAACTTTAGATTTCACCAGAATTTCTCTTCCACTGACAGCAATCAGGCATCACTGTCAATTCCAAGTGTGTGCCTTCCTAATCAGTGACATGTGTTTTATGTTTTTCTAGAGTGTCCTACCATATTTTGTAGCTACGAAACTGGCTAAAATCCGAAAGCCAACTTTGGATAAGCCCTCTGCAGAGACATTTGTGAAGTCTGCAATTAAAACAGTAGGCTTGCAGTCCCGGACCACTGGATACTTAATCCACGCTGTCATGGTATGTAAGTCCCAAATCAATACTTTCTGGGGTTTTTTTTCCCATTGTGTCACAAAATAGTGCACGGTATATTATCATCAATATGTTGGCTAGATATTATCACCAAAGCATCTATATTTTATTTTAAACTGTGCCCACCAGGCATTGTGGTGCACGCCTGTAACCTCAGCTGCACAGGAAGAAGAGGTGGGAGGATTGCAGTTCAGAGCCAGCCAGCGCAGGCAAAAATGTTAGCCAGACCTAGTCAAAAAACAAGGTGGGGCCAGACGCCTGCAACTCACGCCTGTAACCCTAGCAACTCAGGAGGCACAGTTCAGGAGGATCGCAGTTCGAAGCCAGCCTGGGGAAATAGTTCTCAAGACCCTATTTCAAAAATACCTATCACAAAAAAAGTGGCTCAAGGTGTAGGCCCTGAGTTCAAGCCCCAGTACCCCAAAACAAAAAAAACAAGGTGAGCATGGTATATGCCTGTAAACCCAAGCTGCATGGGAGGCAGGCAGAAAGATCATAGTCCAAGGCAAAAATGTGAGACCTTATCTTAAAAAAAAAGGACTGGGGGTTCAAGCGGTAAAATACTTGCCTAGCAACCCAAGACCCTGAGTTCAGACCCCAGTACTGGTAGGAAAAAAACAAAAAACAGCTGGATACCCAAAAGCTTTAATATATACCTACAAATAACAGTGGAGTAAAATGTAAGAACACTGGCTTCAATTTAGCTCAAGTTGTAGTCTACACTTACATATCTCCCCCATTTCTTTCCCTAGGGCTCAGTAAACTCAATCCTGCCTCAGTGGATTTATTATAAATTAGTCATGGGTGTCAACAAGTCCCTGCGGGCTCGCTATCTGAAGAAGACAAAGAAGAACTAAGAGCTAATGACTCACTGAGTGACTTGGCCAGATGCTTCAGCCTGTGCCTGCTCACTGCAAGGTGACCCCAGTCCCCCAGACCCTCAGTTGTCTTCTCAATAACTCAGTAACATCGCTAAATGTCGTCATAATCGGGAGGAAAACAGAAGGCATCATTAGGAGTTCCTCACATGTATTCTGGATACTGCTAGGACTAATTTTAAAGTTTAATGTAACTACTCATATCAAATAGATATAAAACTAATATTACCAAGAACAACTTAATAGGAAGGAACACAGTTATAGCAAAAATCACAGAATGAAAGAGTCAGACATAAAAACGCAACAATTCCGTCTAGCCCAAAATGCCAGTGCTCATTATTCTTACATTTTCTCTGAAACAAACCATGAAATATAATAGCTAGCTTACTCGTTTTGTTTTTAACACTGTGAGGGAGTAGGAATTAATCAATTTGCATATAGTTCAAGTTATGGATCTTTATGATGTTTTCTAAGTGTGTGTTTTGTACACGTATATGGAACTATTCTTTCTTAAAAGTAGCTAATAACATAAGAATTATGCAGTAGACAGTTATTTCTGACACATGAAGCTTACTAAAATATGTTTTCTTTGACATATTACTTCTTCTTGGTTTAAATGTATGTAACTACTATATGGTATGATTAAATTATAAAGGTAATATGGGCCAAAATGTACATCAAGATCAAACCTACGATGGCACCCTGAGACCCTGATGCAGGAAACAGCCTGTGACCCCAGGCTTGTTTGTTTCTGCACTGCAGCAGTATGTGAAAGCATTACTACTTCTATAATAGTAATGTTATCAAGGAAATCATATTGTACTTTTTAAACTGTTCCCCATAGGTACTGGTATAATGGCTTTAATAAAATATGATAAAACCATGGTGTTGAATGACATTGTATTTTTTTATACTTGAAACTATGGCGCTATTTATTCTGGCTTAATGAAAGTTAAGACTGATTTTTATTCTGCTTCTCAACTGGTGTCACCAAGGAAAAATTCAGTACTGCAAAATATACAGCCACAGAAGGTAGGCCTTCAGACCCAGAAAGGAAATACCACATGCCTTCTCTCATATGCAGAATCTGAACTCAAAAAAAAGTGACATGAATATAAAAAGTGGGACTCTTGTTGGGGGGGGGCTATAGGTGGAGGGAGGACAAAAGGAGAAGGTAATGGGGAGGTTGAATATGACCAAAGTACATTGCATGCATGTATGAAAGCAGAATAATGAAAACTATTAAGATTGTAAAACATAAAGGGGGATAAGAAAGAGCAATAGGAGGTGGATATCAAGATACATTATATACATATATGGAAATATCACAATGAAAGCCCTTTGTATAATTAGCACCAATAAATTTGTAAAATAGTATTAAATGGGGTGTTAGGTGTTCATAGCTATTAATTTAGCCAACTAAATTTTACCATCTAAAAAAGTAGGAAGAGTATAATCTCAGAATAAAGGATTGTCACCGTTTGCCCGTTTTTTCCTGTCATGTTGTAATGGAGATGGTAGCCTCACAGTGACTTGGGCAATGTCATATGTGTTTGCGTGTTGGTTGGCTGGTGATTTCAATGGAAAGGTGATATGTAAGTTACTATGGGTAGATAGGGGAAGGATTGACTTACAAGACCAATACACTGCCAGACACAAAATGCTTTTTCTTTTATCCTGGTTAGAAAGTAGTTGTCATTCTGGCTAGGAAATCCCTTGGCAGTTTCAAAACTGTGTTATGGTTTTGACTGCTTCTACTTGGCCAGTATTCTCTTCTGTTTGAAATTCAAGGATGAAGGTAATGACACAAAAGTGTAGTTTTCAAGACATTTGAAAAAAATTTTACTAAAAGAAATACTCAAAACCATTAAAATAGGGAAGCATTTTCTAAGAGTCAAGCTATGGTCTGATGTGTGCTCAGATATGATTTTAGCCCAAGAAAGAAGAGTAAAAGATAATTATATAGAGAGACTTACCTTGCAGAATAAAAACTGATATTTTTCTTCTCATTGTCCTTTTGCACTGACATGCAAAATACTCTGCCTTGGGCATGGGGAGCATTTGAGGAAGTGTCTTGTGACATTGATTTGTATCAGTCTGATTCGCCCCTGTGCAGTTCCACGTGCTCCTGGAGTAAGTTCCTAGCTGCTCCAGATGATGTGAGCAGTCTCCCGTTCCCTCTATTGGTCCTCCCCTAGAGAGAGGAAATCCAAGTTCTCATTTGATACTTACTCATCAAAATACAGTAGAACTGAGCTTTATGTAAAGCTGTAAAAAAGGGAAGGAAAAATGATAAAGCATTGTATCAGCATGAGCACAAACATTGGATTTTCTTTAATTTTTAACGTGAATGGCATATTGCAACTTTTGTTTAACATCTCATTGAAAAGCAAGCAAAATAGACAATATGGCCAGTAATCCCAAAAGGATGTAAGCCAACTTGACTTCCATATTACAGGTTTCAGATGTATTGCTCTGTGCATGTTTTCAGTTCCAACCATTTCTCTTCTGGGTGTTAGAGAAGCAACAGTGAACAAGCATACAAATACTCTTGCCGCTGCAGAATTTCCACTTGTGCTAGGGAGGGGTTAGAATGGGAGGGAATCAAAGGAAGGAGATGGATAATAAACAGGAAATAATGTAGTATGTGTGCTATGGGGAAAAATGAAGTATGGGGAGGAGGTTGGAAAATCAAGTGTGTGAGGCAGGGGTGGGAACTTTGTGATTGAAAACACAGGACACATGGTAGGTCTTCATGAGCAGGGCATTTGAACAGTCTTGGTGAACTTTTCAGTTGCCTGGGTGAAGGGTATTTCAGGCAAACCAGCTAGTGCGGAGTCTGAGAAGAGAGCATATCTGTATGTCCCTGAACAGCTAGGGCCCCATACATTGAGATACATCCTAGGTGAAATGTTTCCTGAGGAGTTGTGTTTCAGAGCCTTGCTTTAGTATGGTTGAGTCATAATATTAAATCACCTTTATATTCTTGGTCATATTTCATTACCTTTATACATTGCTAAATTCAGTTTGCTAGCATTTCACTTGGGGTATTTGCGTGTGTGTGTGTGTGTGTGTGTGTGTGTGTGTATTTATGAAGTTGGCCTGTGTCTTTCTGTTACTTCTTGATCTAGTTTTGGTGTCAAGATGGTAATACCTTCATTTAATGAATTGTGAAGTTTTGCCTATTTTACTGTTCTTTGGAAGAGTTCTATTTCTTTTCAAGCTATTCCATAAAATAGAAAGGGAAGGAATGCTACCAAACTCATTCTGTGCAGCCAGTAATACCCTTACACCAGTCAGATAAGAAAATGACAAAAAAAATTATATGCCTGCTGGTGAAGTGGCTCACATGGTAAAGAAACTGCCTAGCAGTGCGAGGCCCTGAGTTCAAATACCAGAACCACAAAAAAATAAAATTCACATGGAAGCACACATTCCTCAAATAGCCAAGGCAATCCTGAGCAAAAAGAGCAGAGCCATAGTGACAAAAACACCATGGTACTGGCACAAAAACAGACCACAAAAACCAATGGGACAGAATAGAAGATCCAGAAATAAACCCACACAGCTATAACCACCTGATTTTCAACAAAGGCCCCATTAACATACGTTAGAGACAAAACAGCCTCTTCAAAAACTGCCTCTGGGAAAACTGGATATCCACATGTAGAAAACTGAAACTAGATCCCTGTCTCTCAGCCTGTACAAAAGTTAATTAAAAAATGGATCAAATATCTAAATATAAGACTTGAAACTCCTACAGGACAACATAGGGAAACATAGGTAGCATCTTTCTGAATAGGACTCCAGTGGCCCAGGAAGTCAAAGCAAGAGTCAGGAAATGGAATTATATCAAATTATAAATCTCCTGCACAACAAAGGAAACAGTTTCCAGAATCAAGAGACAGCCTATAGAATGGGAGAAAAACCTTTGCCAGCTACACATCAGATAAAGATTAGTATCCAGAATATAGAAAGAGTTCCATTAAGCACCAAAGGAATAAAACAATCCAATTAATAAATGGGCAAATGAATTGGCCAGATAGTTCTCGAAAGAAGTACCAATAGCCAATAAATTCATGAAGAAATGTTCAGTATTCTTAGCCATAAAGGAAATGCAAATCAGCCCAGGCAGAACGGCAGTCGTTAAAGCAAACAACCACAAACACTGGCAAGGATTCGTTATTGGTGGTAATGTATATTAGTGCATCCACCATGGAAATCGGCAGGGAGGTTTCTAAAAAAAAACAAGGGGGTGTGACTCAAGTGGTAGAGCATCTGCCTGGCAAGTACAAGGCCTTGAGTTCCAACCCCAGAACTGTCAAAAACAACCCTGAGAAGCAGAACTACTCTACAACTCCTGGGCATGCACTGAGGGAATGTAAGTCAGCATACAAGAGACACCTGCACACCCATGTTTATAAGCAGCACTAGTCATCATTAGCCAAACTATGGAATCAACCTAGGTGTCCATCAACTAGTGAATGGGTAAAGAAAATGTGGTATAGCCAGGCACTGGTGGCTCACACCTATAATCCTAGCTACTTGGGAGGCTGAAATTAGGAGATTGTGGTTTAAGGCCAATCAGGGAAAATAGTTCATGAGACATCTCACACCCCAGAGTGTGCTTTGCTAATCTTCTAGGTGTTTCTCAATACCATTAAGGTGTCAGTATTAACCATAGTGATGGTGAACATAACTTAAAATTGCAGTGAATGGATTGTGTTGCAGATAAAGCAGGTGGAGAGAATTAGAGACCTGGAATGTAGATGTGAAGAATTCATGCAGGTCAAGCATAGTGGTACATTTCTGTAATCCCAGTTACTTGGGAGGCAAAGGAAGGAAGATTGTGAGTTTGAAGCCAGCCTGGGCAAAGTTAGGAAGACCCTATCTCAAAAAATAAAATACAAACAAAAGGGCTAGGGGTGTGGTCAAGTTTTAGAACACTTGCCAAGTATGTATGGGTCTAATCCCCAGTCGCACCACATATGTATATATGTACATAGATGCATGATACCTGTATCTATCTGTCATGCAGCTCAGGGGAGCAAGAGTGGAAAGCATGAGAGAGGAAGAGAGAATAAAGACATGACACTTTTCAGAAATGACAAAAGGCAGGAACTCACAGGTACAAACTGTAAGCCAGAGTTCTACACTTAGATAGACTGGCATGAAACTGAGAACCAGCAAGTCAAAGGTATCATAAAAGTGACCAGAAACACATCTCCTACAGAAGAACATCATCCACATCCGGACTTCTGAACACTCACAATAGAAGCCGGAAGTCAGAAGCATGGTCAAGTATTTCATTAACTTTAAAATGCCATCAGTTCTAAACCACACTACTATTATAAGGATCACTAATACAGAAAAATGGTGATTAAATTGTGACATGCACAAACAGGTCTGGGAATGTAAGAAGGAAAGGCCTGTAAGGAACTGAGAAGCAGGTGGTTGTATTTTATACAAAAATTTGTGGATGAAAATATCTGTTTCCTTTTTGGTGGCATTGCGATTTTGAACTCAGGGTCGTGCACTTGCTAGGCAGGCACTGTACCACTTGAACCACACCCCCAGCCCTTTTTCCTGTAGTTTATTTTTCAGATAGAGTCTCACCTTTTGCCCAAGCTGACCTTGGATCACAATCCTCATACCTCCACTTCCGGAGTAACTGGGCTTACAGATGTGCACCACAACATCTGCCCATACTTTATGGGATTTTAAAAACAGAGACGAATACTGATACACAAGAGCATGTGAATGAAGAAAGCGTTGATCAGAATTACGTTCTAAAGGCTTACAAGAGGGCATCTTGATGCCAGATAATTTTAGACTGCATTGAGCATACAATGAGAAAGTTCTCGAGTAAACACAA